GGAAGGAAGGAAGGAAGGAAGAAAGAAAGAAAGAAAGAAAGAAAGAAAGAAAGAAAGAAAGAAAGAAAGAAAGAAAGAAAGAACACACTTGTAGTAGACCTTCACAAGGGGACTCCTGTCACATGTAAAAAAGGAGTAGGACTTTAATCATTCAGTAGTGCCTTTCATCTTCCATTTTTTGACATACACATACCCTCCAGACACCCTGGCTTTGTACGCTTGGAACAGTCTAGCACACAAAGATGCCTGTTTTCCACCCATGACATCTGCCCTTCCCTTCCCATGTCTGGTGCAGTTCCATCTGGAGGACAAATGCCCCTAGGATCAGGACGATCAAGGGTGAGGAGGATCCATCCTTTACCTTGTCTAGCATCCCATTGGGGGCAAGGAGGTTCTCCCTGCCAAGGACGTTGATGTGCAGTGTGTAGCGGAAGTGTGGGATTAGCAGCTGTGGGAAAGGAAACCACAAACAGGTCAGAGAAGAAATGAAGCAAGTGGTGACGTCCCTAGGAGATCTTCTCCCTCCCCTCTCTCTCTACAGCCTGTTGAGGCCAACAGGGAGAATACCATATAACAGGTAAGTGAAGGTACATCTATTCTGCACCCCTCCTGAGGATACTTCAACTTCTAGAGATTTGTGGGTGACTTCCTGGAGATGCTTTGAGCGGGTGACAGGCTACAGCAGTGACTCACCCAATCCAGTGGACATCTCTGCCATCTCATAGCCAAGTTTTTTGCTTCATCCCTGAACATTCAACGGTGCTGGCCCCTCCTTATGGCTGACATATCTCTTCTGGCTTCCCTCCCCACGCATACTCACCTTGTGTACCGGATGGCACCTGGGAAGCTGCCGGAGGGTGGCCAGCAAGAAGACTTCCACCACCAGGTGTGTATAAAGCAGATGGGTGAGCATCTCATGGATGTAAAACGTGCTGTTGCGAACCCAAAACTTGGCCAGCGCCCAGTCCCACTCAGAGTCCGTGGGTAAGAAAATGGGGCTCTTTGGCCCAGGTTGCTGGGTCAACTAGAATGAGAAGAAACTCTTGAGATTCCTGCTTTTTCAAAGAACCCTCTGGAGGAAATAAAATGGTGTCCAATCTCCATTCAGGTACACTTAAACTCATTAAATCTCAATTGGTCAAGGATCTGAATGGTATATAATCCACCTTCCCTTAAGTTCTCAGATCAGAGAGATACAGATGTTACAATGTCAATTGAGATGTTACAATCTCAACTGAGAGATACAGATTGTTATCAACCTCAGTTGGTCATATATCTGAATGGTCCATCTTCCTTTCAGTACTCAAATCAGAGAGATACAGATGTTACATTACGTCATGTCCTCATGTACAAGGTTTTACATGACTTCCACCACCACCTCCTTTGGACAGAAGGCAATTTCTCTATTTTTATACAGTGTAGATCCTGCATGGTGTTTTCAGTTATACCATGCACCAGGAGGCACACACTAAAGTGACACGTTTCCCCATTTGGGACTCGTCAGATGTAGGTGGCCAGAGGTTATCCTATGGGGTTCAAACTCTCTACCGGGAATTGAACTCATGGGCTTTTGTAGCTTAGATGACAATACACGGTGCATTAGAAGTCATGTGAAACCCTGTACACAATTGTGTAAATGTGTCTAATGGTGTGCAAATGTGGTTATCACTATCAATAGACACATAGAGATAAACCACATTTACACACCATTCAAAAGATACAATAAAAAAGCTAAGAAGGAAACAAAAAGACCAGAACATGTCCTCTCCAGCAGCCTACACCCAGATAAGCGGGGATAAGCGGGGATTAACACCAGACAAACAATCAAACAGAAAACAATACCCTAATCAAGGAACTACCAAAGAGAAAACCGGCAGGGCAGTATATAAACAAGGATCAAACCCCACACCCACTAGCACTGATGATGTTACCTAGTTGGGTAATGAAACGTCTGCAAGCAAACAACCAAGCTCAGAGAGCACCAGGACCCCAAAAAACAATATCTTTCAAAACTGCCTCTAATTGCTACAGCAACACAGAGAATTGACAATACCAGTGCTGTTCCAGGAGCTTTCTACCCATCTTTTGACTGCTTTATTCCTTGACTGATAAATTAAAAACTGCTTAGGATTTTCTTCATTTAAATTACTGCTCTGTCGTGATAAATTATGGGTCCACAGAAGAGAAGACAGAGAAAACAAGGATCACCCCCATCTTCATCCAAGGGAAAACAGCTTCTTTGTACTGAAGAACAGCAGCAAGATGAATTTATTTCTGATCCAGCAGAGAAAGTAGACATTCTTCCAACAGGAGATAGATACTTCCTAGCATGGACAATCTAAAACCTGATTATTATTATTTTTTTTATAAGAAACTCACATTGATTCACACAGAAAGCTCTCTTATCTAGTAGATGGTTGGTGAAGCATATAATAGTGGAAATTCAAAATAATTACAATTAACAATCTTCAAAATTTATAGTGGAACAAGATACAAGTCCAGAAGGAAGAATTCCAGAAGTTTTCAATGCTGGTGATTAAAAGTTCTAGCAACTGTACTGGATTTATTCATTGCTAGGGTCCTGCTAAGAACCATGCCGATGTTTTAGCTGTGGATCAGAAAATTACAGCTGGAGACTTAATCAAATTTTATATACCACTAGAAAATCCCAGGGCTGTAGGCTTGATTGGGAAGTTGACAAACATTTCAGAAGACCGCAATGGCAGAGAACTTTCACAACGCTTTACTATAAAGGACGCGACTTTGTAGTAGAAAATGTTTCTCCTTGTTCAAACCCCCTTTTTTAAGTGCCTTTATAGTTGTGTAATTTTATATCTTTTTAAGATATGTATTGCTGCTGGGAGAGCTAAGTCTGTTCTTAAAGAGGCTCTTCCTAGCAATGGGCAAAACAGACAGGGAAAAAGGAGCTTCAGCGAAGGGGTGAGAAACTAGAGACCTTACCTGAATCGCAATGGGCACCATCTCCCCCCACGCAGTGAGGCGGAGGAGGCAGACAGGGGCCGAGACGTACTGGGGGGACCCATTGAGGCTTGTGGCGGGGATCCCTTCCAGAATCTGGCAGTCTATGAGAAAGATGTGGCCTTCCTAAAATTCACAAGCAGACCGTTTGAAAGGATGGGGAAGAGGTGGAAGAGGAGACCTGGAAATGCAATGCTACATTTCCCCAATGAAAGATGTGGGTTTTGCTCAAAGGGCCACTTCCAGCTTCAGATCCGAATATCTGGAGTGTTTGCAATGAAGGAGCCCAATCTACCATCTTTGGGGGGAAAGAATTAAATTAGGAGTACTTGGGGACTATCCAAGATTCATACGTTGGGTGCTACAGAGGGAAAGGCTTAGGTTGGGACTTGGGCTCCCAAAATCAGTCTGGCATGAGTTCCATGTACAGTAATGAATAAAAGCATTTTCAGTAGGGCAGGCATGGAACTGTTTCCCATAGAAATGGGGCCCCAATGGATAACTAAAAGACTCCATTTTGGATTTCCTATCTCAGGAACCCAAAACACCTTGGCCTTACCACTGTATGATGCAGTGAAGGTGAAGGTGTTGGACTGGACTGGGGAGGTCCCCCTCAACCATGAAAGCACCCTGGGTGACTTTTAGTCAGGGCTTCTCCCTCAGCCCACCCTACCTCAAAGGGTTGTCATGGGGAAAAAGGGGTGGAGGGAGTGTTAGATATGCTATCTATGAAGCTTCCAGAAGATGAGTTCAACTCAAGGGAGATGCTGGCTTTCCATCACCTCTTGACCAGAAAAGCTTCTCCGAAACAGCAATTGGTTGTGCTTCGTGAAGCTGGTGCTGGACTAGGCCTTCTGGCTGGGTATGTTGGCGTGTTTCTTATCTTACCTTCACCTCTTTGTCAAGGGTGGTGTCGGTTCCCAAGGATTCGGCCACCATCTCCTGCGTAACTGGGAATTTAGCTGGAATCTCTGGGCATCGCTGAATGATCTCTGGGCTTACGCCATTGAGATATTGGTAGCCAAAGAAGGCGTCTTCATCCCAGTGCCTGCTGACATATTCTGGGGACACAGAGATGTCCTTGAAAGGTCACCTGGAGGGCTGGTTTTTTAGGACAGGAAAGAGCTTGGCTGGCTGAACTTCAGGGCAGCATTTCTAATGCTCTAGATGTCATAGTAGGTTTGCTTACATGGCAGGGTTCTTGGGCCATCATGGAAAACATTCCAAATCTGCAACAGGTGCAGAACTAAAATTTTGACGAGTCTCAGCTTTTCCTTTCTTTTAAAGCCAGGTTATCCAGAAGGGGCCCCTCCCCACTGTTGCGATTCTGAGCTTCTAGTCCACACGGCTAGGAAACTGCCTGGAAATTCACAGGCCGTTCCAGTGCTGATGTTCAGCACTAAATATTGGCTAAGGTTTCTGTGGACCTCACCCGACTGAGTCACACACAAGCCCAGGAGTGTCTGTAGGGCAGTGTTTCTCAGCCTTGGTGCCTTTAAGACGGGTGGACCTCAACTCCCAGAATTCCCCAGCCCGCAGAGCTGTGGTGGGTATTTTTCAGCCTTGGCTGACTTCAGTGCAGTCCTCCACATGGTGCCCACTGAGTAGGTCATCCTCTGTTCTTTGGAGGAAGAACTTTCTTGTGGCTTCTTTGGGTAAGATGGAAACAAGGGTGACCTTGGTGGTCTTTGAAGGTTGATGCACCTCCATCTTCATGCTGGCTGGGGAATTCTGGGAGTTGAAGTCCACCCATCTGAAAGCTGCCAAGGTTGGGAAACACTGCCGTAGGGGATGGTCGAAGAAGTCATGATGCAATGGTGCAATCAAAGCTCAATCGTGACCCTTTTAAGTGCCCTGCGGACAACCCTGGAAATAAGGCGAGGTGAGCAGACTGACCCGAGACTGGGGTTCGATAAAACCAAAAGGCCCTTCAGATGTCATCCAATTTCCTCCAGGAGCTCTTGTAGTTCAGCAGTCCTTTCAGCTTCAACTCGATTTCCCTGGCATTGAAAAAGGGAAAATAAATATAATGCCACCAGACCTCTCCTCTACTCCCACTCTCTGTTCCCTGAAGCATAAAGAGCCATCAGAATTTCAGGAAATACAACCAACTTTTCTCTAATTGGGAGCCAGGAAGGGGGAAAATTCCCTCTGCAGCATTTCATCTGACATGCGGTTGATTAGGATAAGGAAAAGGTTGAGCTGGGCATAACTCCTGGTGCCTACGTAGACAGAAAGAGTTCAACCCTATTTCTTTTCAAGAACAACCATGCTGGCTAGGTCGGCCACCTGCCAGGTCTGCTGGTTAAAAGGGAGGCTTGATCCTGGCTTTTGGAAATTGAATACAAAGCCCCAAACAGCCATATTAACCATAATATTAGTCATTATTCCATCTAGGGTAGTGTTTCTCAACCTTGGAAACTTTAGGATGGATGGACTTCAACTCCCAGAACTTTACGATGGGTGGACTTCAACTCCCAGAATTCCCCAGCCAGCCATGCTGGCTCGGGAATTCTGGGAGTTGAAGTCCACCCATCTTAAAGTTGCCAAGATTGAGAAACACTGCCCTAGTGTCTCGTTCCTGCACCCTCTCCTTCTTTGGCTGTAGAGGTTTTACAGGACTTGCGGAAAACCGATTAAACCACGGCAGCGAATTGAACAAGATTTTTTCTTTCGGTAGCCAAGAATACTTGGATTCTCCTCCCGCTCCATTCCGACTCGTACGTACGCAGCTGTCAGGTAGATTTGGAAAGTATTGGCTTTGATGCTCGAATATTGATCGTTCAGGTGCAACTGATCCACAGAATCGACATCTAGGCATTTGGGCCATCCTGGCTGATAATCTTTATATCTGTAGCAAAGAGACACCAGAAAGGGTTGTGGATTAATATTTATTGTATTTATTTCTATGCCCCCTCCATCTCAATGAATGACTATTTGCTCTTTTCTATAAAAGTTTTGCTCTTCAATGGCACCTACATCGATCCAGCTTGGGGTCGGGGGCTTCCAGAAAAAGTTTCTGGAACTAACCATTAATATTATCGCTCCCACTCTTCCATTTTTTCTATTTTTACATTTCCTTCCTTGTGGGAGAACAAGGTTGGGCTTCAAATGGAGAAATGCTTCATCAGAATTCCAGAAAAATTGTCCCAAATCAGAGAAGGGCAATTGCTGGATTAAACGCTGTCTTGGAAAGACGCCTCTTCCTTCTTGGTCGGTCCTCAACATATAGTATATGATTACACTTTTTTTTCCTCTCGTCTTGCAAAACTAGGTTTTAGGGATATCAGCGACCCTTTGCAGGCCTCAGAAATGGAGAAGGACATGGAATGCATATTTTCCCATTAAAAATCAGGAGGAATCTGGAGCACCTTTTCCGACACACCAATTTCAGTAACGCAGGGAAATTGCTGGCAGTTCAAATTGGCGTGCAAAGTTTTAGTTCCGTGTTTCTCAATCTCAGCGACTTTAAGACCTGTGGACTTCAATTCCCAGAATTCCCCAGCTGGCT